CCCGCCCGGTCGCTGCAGGCCGAGGGCTCCCCGGACCCGGGCGCTCTCTCCGTTTCACCAACGACGTGGACGTGGACGGCGGCTTCAGCACCAGGGGTCTAGACGTGCCGGCCTGTGAGCTGATGGCAGGTGGCTTCTTCTGGGGCCGGTGCCGTAGGAACGCGGAGCTTCGCAAGTAAAACTCGCGGGGGCAAAACGACGGGGTCCTCCCCATGGTGGCTGGGGGGTGCGCAGCGCCTTGGAGCGCCTCCTGCAGGCGCGTGGCAGCGAAGGTCTTGGGGCCCTCAGCCCGAGGGGACCCTGTGAGCCCTAGAGGCACAGTGAACAATACCTGTCTCTTCTCTCTAGGGCACACCAGGTCTGAGGCATGGGGACAGTAGTCCGAGCCTTCATCTAAAACCTGCCTGCAGGCCAACTTGTGCTTAAATCGAAGGAAATCTCGTTTTGTTTCCTGGCGAACCTTTTCAAGCTCTTTAAACATGTAGGACTCTTCTCTGGTTTTCAGTCCAAAGTGCTTCGGGATCATGGACATGTTGACAAATTTGACCTATAAGATACAATATATATAGAAATTTCTATTGATACATAAAATTCCGGCTCAGCAAAGCTTCTCGTGATACAGCCTCCCTGTTCTCCCTGAGGCACAAATAGGTAAAAATCAATAAATATCCATCTACTGACCTTTGCATATTAATCATGAAAACCCTCCAAATCAGTAATCCCCACACACACACACACCGGTGGGAGTTTTGCAAGCCCATATTGGATTTATTTTAACATTTCCTTAGGCTATAATGTAAGAAAACAACCCCACTAGGCCTAAGCACCAGAAACGACCCAAGGCAGGAAATCTAAGGTAGCCCTGCTAAGATACAAGATCAGCACAAAAAAAAAAAAAAAAAAAAAAAAAAAAAAAAAAAAAAAAAAAAAAAAAAAAAAAAAAAAAAATCATTAGCATTTGTGTATACCAATAATGAGCTCCATGAGAAGGAAATTATGAAAACATTCACTATTCAATACCTTCAAGAACAATGAAATATCTAGGAATTAACCTAACCAAGGAAGTGAACAATGTCTACAAAGAAAACTACAGTACTCTGAAAAAGGAGATTGAAGGGGACATCAGAAAATGATAAGCTGTCCCCTACTCCTTGATAGGCAGAACCAGTATTGTCAAAATGGCCATACTTCCCAAACTCTTACATAGATTCAGTGCAGTCCAAAATATCAGCAACATACCATACAGATCTAGGGAAAAAAATACTAAAATTTGGAGGGAGTCAGAAGAGACCCAGAACAGCTGAAACAATTTTGGACAACAAGAGTAAAACAGGAGGCCTTACAATAGCTAAACTCAAGCTATACTACAAAGCAATAGGAAGAAAAAAAAAAACATGGTACTGAAATAAAAACAGGCATGTAGAGCAATAGAACAGAATGTAGGATGCACACCCCCAGACACATTCGACTATATGATCTTTGACAAAGAGGCAAAACGCATGTGTTGAAGAAAAAGCCTACTCAACAAGTGGTGCTGGTAAAACTGGTTACCTGTTTGCAGAAGGTTGAAACTGGACCCTTATCTTTCACTATAAACTAAATTATGATCAAAATTAATTAAAGATCTAAACATTAAACCTACTGGAAGATAAAACACTTAAAGACATAGGTGTAGGAAAAATTTTTTCTAAACAGAACCTCATTTTCACAAGAGACAGCAAGAATCAACAAATGGGATTATATCAGACTAAAATGCTTCTGCATAGTAAAAGAATCAATCAGCAGAGTGAAGAGACAACATACAGAATGGAGAAAAAATTTTCCAACTACTCCTTAGAGGACTAATACCTATATAAAGAACTAAAAAAATTAAACTACCTTAAACGGTCAAGAAATGGGCAAGAGAAATGAACAGACAGTTCACAGAAAAAGAAATATAAATAAACAAATATATGAAAAAAGCTTCAGCATCTCTGTTCACGAGACAAAAGCAAACTAAAACAACTCTAATATTCTATCTTACTCCAGGAAGAATAGCAATCATTAAGAAATTTTTTAAAATAACACATGTTGGTCAAAAAGGGAACCCTCCTTCATTGTTGGTGGGAATGCAAATTAGAACAACCATTATGGAAATCTGTATGGAGACTTCTTTTTTTGGGGGGGTGGTACTGGGGAATGAACTTGGGACCTTGTGTTTGCAAGGCAAGCAGTGGAACCACTTAGTTAAATCACTGGCCCTGTATGGAGATTTCTTAAAGAACTGAAATTGGAATTTCCACATGACCCTGCTAGGTATCTTCCCCAAAGTGTTTAAGATATCATACTACAGCAATGTATGCATACTGATGTTTATAGCAGCACAATTTATAGCAGCTAAATCCTGGAAACAGCCTGTATACCCATCAACAGATGATTAAAGAAAATTTATCTATATATAATGGAATACTACCTGACTCTAAATGACAAATTTGAGACATTTGTAGGAAAATGGATGCACCTGGAAAATATAATGTTGAATGAACAACCAGCCACATATGCTTAAATACTGTATGATGACTCTCATTTGAGTGAGGCAAAGTAAAAGAAAAAAGAGAGAGAATAATAAAGGATAATAGAAGGGGATAAGGGGATAAATCTCTTGCAATAAAATAAAAAGGAAAAGGGGCAACGGATAAGGAGAAGGGGAAAAAAATAGAATAAAGATATTCCATATACTGGAATCTGATAACCTCAATGCCTCAATGAATGTAAACATCATATGCCACAACATGAGCAAAAATAAACAGTGTCAACAAGAATGAAAATTGGTATAGGGGAATTAGAGCAGGGGAGAGGAAAGGGGATTTTTAAAAGAAACAAGCTGTAGTATATATATGTACTCACTCCTCAAGATGATTGTAAACTGCATGTACTGCAAACATGTACTCGTGAAATAAAATTAAAAATAAAGTAGCCCTGCTAACAAAAGACTGAAGTCACCAACTGTGTCCTGTAGCCTAGATGCAGCCCGTAAACATGGTTTTCAACTTTTCAGACTTTTTCAGAAATAGTGACATAACTCCAGCCAACAATTTCATATAGGGAGACCTTTAAATTAAAAATTCAACTTTGCAGTTTCAGGTGGAGGGGAAGATGGCTCTGGCAATGCAAGGGCCAAATCCCTACTCCACTGGCTGGATAAGAAGCTGTTTTTCCCTGTCCTATTCTCAGGTATCCCCCTTCCTCCCCCAGCCCGCTTTCCATAGTGAGCTACAGCTGCCTGTAGAAAGGGAGGGAGGCTGCAGCCAGAGTTTTAGGCCTGAAAGCCAGATAGTTGTACTTTTTCTTTGAACGGCTGGGTGCCACTTAAGATCTTTAACAGAAAAAAGAGTATCTGGACATAACCAGAAATTTACTAAAGCTACATGAATAATTTTTAATTTTATTGAAAGGAAATAAGAAAAATTCAATTAAATAAACAGTTGCTGTTCTTTTCTTAGAAGGTCAAATAATTTAATTATATCAGGTGTTTCCAAAATACTGTGTTGGTTTAATGCCAGTACAAAAATCTAGAAATTATATTTTGGAATTTGAAAATTCTAAATTCATTAAAATAAGATATAGGATAGCAAAACAAAATTTGGGGGAATCAGAAATAAGAAAGCAGATATAAGAATTACATAGATATGAAAATTACAAATATACAAATTAGAATTTATATAGATATAGGAATTAGAAATAAACTACTTTTGCTAGAATCAATAGAAGACTGAGAGACAAAAAGTTTAAAATAATAGGAGTTTGAAGACAGCACTCAGTTGGTGATAAAAGACAGAGCTGCTCAATAAATTGTGCTGAAGCATCTGGTTGACTACTTGTGAGGAAAATTATATCTTTTGTGCTATGCACCAGAATAAACCCAGGTGAACTTAAAACTTAAATGTGGAAAATATTTTATTTCACTTTACATTTCTTTGCTTATCACTTAAGGATATTTCTTGGTTGTATTCATATTAATTCATAACAGTTATCATTACAGCTGGAGTTCTTCATACATTACATGGTTTTGATAATATGAAGAACACATTCTATTCATCTTCCAAACATAGTCACATTGCTTTAAAGTCCTAAAAGTGAATTGTTAATTCTCAAACTGAAGAACCCTACTATATGAAAAGGCTCTCAACTGGGAACCAATTGGCTTTTCTTCTTTAGCTCTACCAGTGACTAGATCTTGGATAATTCTATCCATACTTTGGGTTCATATTAAGAAGTGAAAATAGCACCTTCAACCCAGCATGCCAGAAGAATGTAGCAGCTCTCAAACTTCTGGTAGACCCACCCCTTCCACCCAGCCCCCTAGAGGATCCCTGCCATGCAGGTACCAAAAGAGCAGTGTTCATGCCCCCACCCCAAAAAAAGAGAAATAGGGCCTCTATGAAGCTCCTAGATGAAAATTGAAGCCCACTGAAAAAGTGAAGAAAATCTTCAATAAAGGCACACCACACCACCATAGTTGGTAAGTCAAAGGCACCAGCACTCACATAGGAACCTGGTCTAACTTTGGGGGAAAGACAGCTGGAACCTGCAGTAGAACCTTGCAGAGTTCAAGCCAGCAGGAGGACATAGATCTCAACTTGGGCCTTGCAGCCAAAAATCAGCCTGAACCTCAGGGGACAGCTGCTGGCTTGCTGAGACTAAATAACTTAGACCTGCACACTCCTGCCCATGCTGTCTATTCTGTCAACAGAGGCACACCCTGAAGGAGGCCCTCTATTTCTATTTGTACATTTTATTTTCAAAGTAATATTTTTCACTTATCTTTATTCACTTAAAATTATTTTTATCTTTCTCTTTTCTCAAATTATTTTTAATCTTTTTCTTCTCTCTCTCTCTCTCTCTCTCTCTCTCTCTCCCACCTTGATCTCCATTACTCTCTCTTTTTGTTCCTGTCCCTATTCTAATTCGAATTTATTTTCTTTCTTCTCCTTTTCTTCTCTTTTTCCTTCTCTCAATTACCATTAGTTTTAAAAGAAAGTGATAACGGTCTCCAGCCTCCCTATTGCTATTAGTTTCTTCTGTTCTTGGGTATATTTTGTTCTGTGTTCTCCTCTTCTCTTCAACAGTTCCCTAGAGTTTGTGTAATTTTTCTGTGTCCTCTGACCTCACTTTAAACCTTTCTCTTTCCTATCTATCTATCACTCCCTCCTCATCTCCTTCTAAATCCCCATTCTGAAGGATAATGTTGCTATGCTGAAGAGTTTATTCACTGTAAACATATTTTGGATTGGTCCTCAATTTTGATTTAATTCACACAGGTAAAGGTGATAGATTAATAACTACCATAAATGATCATTTTCTAAGCTGGGCTTGATGCTATTGTGTTGCTGATTGTACCACTTGGGCTAAGGTGTTGTGATTGATCTGATCAGTTTTCCTCCCTGGTATAATGAAAATGAGACTGCTCAGAGTCATTAGAGACTCAAAACCTAAAGACCGGCCATATCTGGAAGATCAAAGTATTGACCCATAAATTAAACCAAGGACAGGACCAATGACAAAAAT